CAAATGGGAGCATCTGGCAGTAAAGGCATGATGGATCGAGGTGGAGATGGAGGGTGCAGTACCTCACACGAAAAGAAACGCACGTGCAGGGCCCCTGCCTCTCCTCTGATTGGTTATTTCAGTCCAGAAACACTGCTGGAATAAGTCTGGGGGCTCTGAGCGCCTGAATTAGCAGAGACTGTCACCTTAAAGGCAGCTGAAAAGGCATCTCAGGGTTCAGAGAGAAAAGAAAACAAATAAATCACACAAGCCAAATATCAAGCAAGATCCAGAAAAATACCTGCAGCCAAAATGCCGCTTGCAGCCTCTATAGCGCCTCAGCTGACCAGCCTAGAGGAAAGAAAACCTCATTAATGCGGAAAGGCCTGACAGATGGCGGCTTTCTTCCGCTCGTTCTTGTGCTTTTTTTGTGGTTTGGCCTGATTATTCTTATTAGTCACAGAGCCTCTTTGCTAATCCTTGAGGAAAAGTCTGGAACGAACCTGCGCTGGGCTTTCCATCTAGAAGTCGGTGAACCACATTTCGACGCCCCCACTTCAGCCGCCACGCGTGCGATTCACGGATCACGGTTCTGATTAAAACATACGCCATGCTGAGGTGGGAGCAAAGCCTGTGTTCTGAGTACCGGGTCAGCCACCATATAGCAGCACCAGGGGATCAAGAACCTTGCTGAAGGGCCCAACAGAGATGTGGTTACTCCACTGAGCATGGGATTCGAACTGACGAACTTCTGATCACAGGAACTGGGTCCTGACCCACCAAGCCAGACGCCAGCCCAACGGTGAGTGGTGGGGTCCCCATTGGGACCTTGATGGAGTGGAAATTCCTACTGATCATTATCTCATGAACCTAATCTGGCACAAACCACTTATTCAGGACACCCGCAAAATATGGAAAAAGTCACTTAACGCAGCCATTAACGTGAAAAGACTTTCATAAACAAACAAGCAGCTGCGTTCCCAAAGTGAAACATTTTAATGTATTTACATCATCCGTCTTCCATTTCACTTAGGGTGTATTTATATTAATAATCTTTTAAACTTTTGACTCACTTGGTACATTCCACAACGCTCAGCATGTGTCGGGAACGCCCGTTGGACATTGCCAGAGCCCCGCCCTCTCGGGTCAGCTGACTCCTCCTGCTGACCCCTTGAGTCAGCGCCATAATGCGAGGGTCTGGTGGTCTACATGCTGGGTGGGCTGGCTGAAGTCAGCAGTACACTGACTCACTGAGCTCTCAATGATCAGCCAAGGGTGAGGGGTCAGCAGAGACGGTAAGGGTGTCCAGCAGACAGCCCCCCCTCCCCTGGGAGCAGGCCAACAGAGAGAGGGAAGTGAGTTCTAAAAGCCTGACCCCCCCCCCCCACCATTGCCGGTCTCAGCTCTGTGCTCAGTCCTGCCTATCTTACTCTCGTTCCAGACATCCTTCCTTTTCTATCTGTGGTTATCTGCCAGGGTTCTAGATGTTAGTGGGATCCGACTCAGCCATCTCGCACTCTGCTGACAATCAAAATGTACCCCCTGCTCTGAACAGTGATTTTGACTAAACCATAACACTTATACGCCCCCGCGGGTCAGCCTGTCATCGAGGACACTTCACTTCCAGAGCACAAAATATGTCGGGGAGCCGGGCTTTGATCAAAAAAAAAAAAAACAAAACACTGTGGGACCGAATCTCTCTCACTGACCGATACACTGTCTCACAATCATCCGCCTAACGTCTCACATTTCCGTCGATGACCGGAACTGAAGCTCATGTAATCGGCCTGCCTTAATCCAAGACTCTCAGCAACGCAGTTCATCGCCATGTCACTTTCCCACCTTATTCAGCCGACTGCAGCTGAGATGAAGCGAGAGTCGTCGCCGCCGTGGAAATAAACGAGACAGAACAGAGTATCTGCCTACGAAACCATTGTTCACGCTTGACTAAACGGTAACGAGCACCTCGGCGCTCTGCTCATCCCGTTACCTTGCTTCATTTCCCACCGCTATTGTATTTAGTGACCTACTACAGCAGGCAGCCTGACGCCAGTCTGGACCGGTCCAGACCGGTCCTGTCAAACACGTTGTCATTAATCAATTCATTATTTCAGCTCGGAACCTTCCAGCCCCAGCAGGAGTGAACTTGGGCCAGGTGGCCCGGGCTCAGCTGGAGGTTCAGGTAGCCCCACCCCCACATCCAAGGTGATGGGTCTCTCCGGGCCAGTCGGCTCATCATAGGACCAAGCACGTCCCGGTGAGCCATGAGGCGACACAAACGGACTCTCCACCAGGGAATGAGGTCCACTCGTAAATCAATCAGTTGCCGAGGGAAACCGTGAAGCACCGTGAGACAGAGCTCAGCCCACGGCCCGGCGAGGTGTCCTATGGGTGCCATCTCCCGTATCGAACAGATGGGGCCCATCCAAAGCCGCCTGCGGGACACCTGTGCCAGGGGGGGTGGGGGAACCCATTTAATTCCTGACTATCGTTACTCATCTCGACTGAGCGAATGATTTAAGAGCAGTAGAGCTCCCTGACAGTGACCTGGCACTTGAGACGAGGGAAGGATGCTCATCAGCGTTGGCTACAACGCACCTCTACCATGCAAGACACTTTTGATGCGATACCGCTGCCAGAGAACATTCGCTAATGCAAATACTATCCATCTATCTTTCAGTAGCTTTTCCTATACAGAGTAGCTCGAGAGCCTGGAGCACATCCTCCAGCCCAGATGGGATGCTGGTCCATCACTGGACATACACTCACACACACAATAATACACAAAGGACTATTTAGCGATGGGAATTAGCTTAACTGCATACCTCTAAACAGCAGGAAACCCAGGCGTAAGCAGGGAGAGTGTGCAAACGTCACAAGCACGTAGCAGATGCAGGCTTGGAATTCCCAAGCCCTGGGTTCAAGAAGGAGCTTTGGCACCGTGCCAACGACTACTGTCACTGACAACTCAATGATGTTGACGTTACAGGGAGGAATCACGGCAAATTTATGGCGCACCGAGCGTGATTTCTAGGAATGCACGTGGATCATCTGCATTTGTTGTCCAGGTTGTGCACATTCAGCACAAAATGGAATTACAATAAAAACAAAAACAAAAAAACTCACTACAAAATACCGCATAGCACAAGGTACAATAACCCCACCATCCTAGCAACAGAGGGGACCAGTGCTGCACCAAAAAGCAATCTTACTCACATACTGACATCATCTTTTAAAATTCCAGTGTGTCTGTTTGCTGTTTGATGTTTGACGCTTGGGAAACCACAGCAGAGGGACGCTTCCCAACCCCCTACGAGGGACACCTTCAGGACAAAGATCAAACGTGGCCTATCTGGCACGTCTCATAAATGTTTTGTAAGTGGGGGGAGCACCCAAATAAGTGAGGCAATCTGCTCGACAACACTGAATCTGAAGATTAGCCTTACAGCTAACAGGGAGTTCAGGATTGAAGTAAGACAAACCAAAAGCTGCAGATGGGAGAGGTGCTGGTTTCTGAGCACTCACTCAGAAGCAGGAGCTTTTTCGNTGTGTGTGTGTGTGTGTGTGTGTGTGTGTGTGTGTGTGTGTGTGTATGTATGTATAATATATGTATACACATACAAAAAAAGGAAGTATTTCTCATATTAGTTTTGGAAACGCTTCTCTTCATCCCTGCCTCTTTTCTGCTGTCTTGCTGATCCTGACTCTGTTGAGTCTGAGGACTTGATTTTCTTTCTCTTTTTCTTCCTTTTTTTTGGCTCTCACAAAGGCTTACGTGTGTTAAGCCCCAGACAGCCGTGTAATACGCTCCTCGGAGCACATCGAGGCGAGCGCGTAAATCAGGCGAGCGCGTTCGCTGACACCGCCAAGGTGCCCCGCGACTGTGTGTTACGCTCTTAAATCACCTTTATGTCGGCTGTCGGGGGTCACACCGCGGGGAATGTGAAGGCGCGACACCTCGTCTCCCAGCCGTCGCGGTGCTCTGCTGCCGGAACCCCGCGCTCGGAACCGCCGGGAATCCAGTCGCCGAGAAACCTGAGGCGGCCGCGGGGTCTGTTAGATCATCGCCATAGCAACCGCTCAGAACGCGCTTGGCCTTGGGATTCCTCCGCTGTGCAGCATTTCCAGGTAGATGAATCCTGGGCCTTTTTCCTCTGCTCTTCGATCAAAGGCACGGAGTGAGACTGACGCCGTCGTGAAAGAACCCACCGTCTGTTCCTCCTTGATGTGGCTTTAATATATGATCTATTTTACATGTAGCAACAAAACGCTGTCGGAACTTTCTAAATTAAATTATGTTAATGTATAATTTTTGTGGCTTTTGTGAAAATGGAATTTGTCTTCCAGATATTTTATGAATGAATTATAGTTTCACCTTCTCAGGTTATTAGTTATCTGTTAATTTCAGTGCTCACCATCATGTTGAACCAACAAGAAGTAGCTCTCAGTGTAAGAAACGTTGGAGAACCCTGATTTATTATTTAATAATCGGTACCTTTTACATATAACCTAGCTTTCACCACGAATAAGCATAAACACCCTGGTTTTGTAAAGGAAAACACGTCCCACTCCTCAGGTCACTCTGCCTTTTGACTGATTTGTTCTCTGATCCTGTTTGGGGGGGGGGGGTCCACCCCTCTAGCTCATGTTGGTCACTAGCTGCATTCTGACCCAAATACAATTGAATCTGGACTGGATCCCCCCCCCCACAGCTAGAGAAATTTTACCATTGGTGGATGCAGTGGACCTTGGCTTTATGTCACCGATGGAATTTGGCCCTCAGGAAGCGATTTCTCGGGGGCTGTACCCTAAATCGCACCCTGCCAGCTGCATGACTCCACACAGGAGCAGCGTTCCCTGCCCCCATAGCCCCCTTTTAAACCGCCCGCTAACGGCTCTCCAATCAGACGATCTGACCCGCTGCCTGTCTGTTCCCCTCCCCAGGTCAGCCTCGCATTTTAAGGCACCCGGGATCATCCCGCAGGAGAGGATGTTCTACCAGCGCTGATTCCTCACCCTACCTTGGCAGCCTGTGTCGTCTGAGTCTTCATCCCGGCTCATCTGGCTCATACCCAGCCCTGCCTGAGTGTCCCCCCCCCCCCACCGTGGGAATAAGCACGCGTGGGCCGAGCTATGTGAAGAGGCTGGGACCTCCGAGAGCCAAGCCCGCCTAGCACAGCACGGCACCGGACGAAACCCTGGTCACGGACTATTATGGGCCTGGAACTTCGCTCGTAGTGAATCGCGGCTCGTCCAGGAACTGTGAGTCAACCTCCCCTTCACCCTACCCCCCCACTCCCGCCAAAGCCGTGTCATGTGGGGATGTAAACAGGAAGAGCACAGGGTGGCAGCGCGGGCGGTAGACCCATTTCCCATAATGCTCAGCTTGCTCATTCCGAAAGCCCCTGAAACAGGAACTCTTAGAACGATCACAATAAGCAAATGGAAATCTGGCGACGTTTTCATGTTGTGTACGCCAGCGCTTTGATAAGTTATTTTCTTTCTGTAAACAGTGCAGTTGTCCCTAGCCAACGTGGTTTTGTTTTCTCGGTAACTCATGCTGTCAGAGTTTTTTTCTCCTTTTGTTAAAAAAAACACAAGGAATACGGTGCTGCCATTGTACGCCGGGGAAGTTCAGCCAGGTGTGGGGATGCTGGACGTGCCCTCAGCCTGGCACCCCCAGAACCCTGCCTTAATGGGGGGGGGGGATGGCCAACAAACACATCACATTAACATGTGTTCCACATACGGCGACCTCCTGTAATATCCCAGAGCTTCAGTTTGTGAGTTTGTGTTGAACACCAGGCCTGGTGTGTCAGTGTTGTAGCAAACACGTTTCAACCTCAGTAGCTGAATGGGCATGACCCCTGATGGTGCTATTATGTTAGTGGCCAGTCTCCATTTTGCTGCTTAGCGTATTGGTTCATTTGCAATGGGGGCGTATATCATGTAGTATACGGTCATCCCAGCTTATGTGATTTTCAGGGACATGTCCCGTGTATATAAGCCTGGATGAGGGATCTTTTTGTGACTAATGTTGAACGCTTGAGTCACATAATTAATGTAGCCCTGTAAGCTGTGTGAATGCTCGCTGCATATACTTGCATACGTCTGGACCACACTAAACACTGCCTTCTTCACGCAATGGGAGCTGCATTGCTGCGGTGAGAATGGGACGCCGGGGCTTTAAGGTTGTGGTGCTTTAAGGACCGGGGGGTGTCTGACACAGCTCTCTGCAGACTACATACAAGGCTCTGCCTTCTTTTTTTCCAGACCCTGCTGATTTCCGGAAGCATGAGGCGAAGGGCTCTGCATTGCGTTAATTAGCGTTCACATTTGCAGAGTATAAAAGCTTGTTTCAGACATGCGGCTATTGCACGTGGCTCGTGTTCAGGCTGATCTGCATACAGCCACCTGCATGTGTCAGATAGCAAAGCATGTAATTAATAACGTTCACAATGACGATTGTTTGCATTTGGGGAACAGGTGCCACAGTGGGTAGGGAATTCCAACCTGAAGTGGATTGTCCGCTCGGATTCTTCTGTTGAATCTTTTGGACACATTGAATGAATTTCCATTAGATTTGAAATTGTCCAGTTTGTAAGGATTATTTCCTTTTAAGGGAAAATAATATTTTGGGGGGAGTATAATTGGATTGCATTATTATGCTTGCATAGCTGCATGCATGAGCCTATGAGGGTGTGCATGTCTGTAAAATGCAGCCTCCGTCACTACAGCCAGGCTGCATGGGGCCCAGGAGTTCTGCTGGAATGCGTTCGTGTGTATTTGTCCCTGCCGAACACGGCACAGGAAGACCGCTGCCCCGACAAGCGCAGGAAACGGCCCCCGTCGCAGGGCAGATGGAGGACGACATGCTTCCTCTGCAGAAACCCGCAGGAAGGAGAACCTGGATGATGCAAATACCTAGAAGCACAGCAAGCTGAGGGGATGTCGTGCTTGCAGCGCCAGGGAGGGACACGGATACCTGCATTGGACTACTTAGCATAGCATGGTTACACTCACGTTGGATATCAGGCTTCAGCTGTGAGTGGCTGAAGGTGCTCTCTGAACAGACCGCGCTGCTGTGGATTGGCCACTCCTGTGAAACACACTTCAGCTCCAAAACTTTAGCGCCAATCACATTTAGAGTTGGATTTTACCCCCCCCCCCTTTTAGGGATCCTCCATTTCTCTGCACCAGCCATCCAACACAGTAATAGCTGCATGACACAACAAGAGGAAGCTGAGCTTTGCTTCCGTTCAATGAATCAGCTGCCATCATTCCTTTCCATCTGGGCCCAGATTGATTGATTTCTCCTCAGACCAATAAAATGCTGACAGGACCAAAATCCGACAAGGGATATCGAGTGATTATGCTCCTCTAAGCAGAGCCCTATGTCCTGGATTGCAGTCGACTCGACAGGATGGGGCTTTCTAACCTAGGGTGTCCCACCCACCACTTTGGCCCCATTATCGACTGCCCCTCCCCCACCCTCATCACCCTCAGAAATTTGTGGCCAATTGTTTGTGGCTGCCCGATCCAGGATGTGAGGACTGAGTGTTTCACTTCCTGTTTCTTAGGGGAACTCGGTCCCGACAGGCCCGTGTAGCCAAATGGCCCTGGGAACCGCAGTGTTATTTCACCTGCCGAGACAATCCAGCCCGGCACAGGGTAGATGATTATACAACTGCTCTCGAAGGTAAAGGCCTGAGGTACCCAGGTACAACCAAAAGACCGAAATGATTTATGGTCATACAGCCTTTTATTTTCAGCAACAGCTGTGGTCATTTCCTTAGAGATCCATAAATATGTACAAACAACAGTGCTGTTGTGCGTTTCCTGAGAATGGCAGTGGGCCCGCGGACCTGCCTGAGGATCTGGGGCATATCTGAAGCTTTACAAAAGACGTCATCTATTTCTCGGCCTCTCTTCTAGCCGCGTCGCTTGCGTCTCTGCGTAAAGCCGCCGGGGGCAGGGTCGCACATGGCCTGTGGTTCTTAGGGAGCACATTGTGTATTTTCTCAGTGGGGTGGGTAAATCCTCCTTCTGTTGGTTACGGTTGCCAGGACTCGGGATCTGCAGTTGTTTAGTGGTCCCAGTGTAGGCACAGGGATGAGAAAGCGAGCAGACACTTTGCAGAAATCGCAGCTCCTGTGGTTGACCTTGCTCGGTCAAAAGGTCCCGTAGCCAAGCCAATGTGGGATCGCCTAGCCAACTCTGCCGTGACAATTCTTAATCTGTCTGCTTGATCCGTTCACACTACAGACGGCGTCTGTTTAACCAGAAATTCATTTTCCTCCTTCTCAAAGTTCTCATGCTGTTGTGGCTCATTTCAGGAGCGGCGTGGGTCCGGTCATGCCTGCGATGGCGGCTGGTCCGCTAACATAAACCTCCCTCCAAGGAATGGAAATGTCTTCCTGTCATATCCGAAAGGAAGCATGTGGATTGATAGCACTTCCTTTTTTTGGGAGAGTCGGCCTCAATGAACCACGCATCTGCTTAAAATCCATGGCTGCCAGTCTGACACCCTCCCGCAAAGTCTGTCCACTTGCCAGACTGACCCTTTGTGCCAATACAGACGGGCTTCTTCCATTTGAGATGCATCCCGTTGCATGCGAGATGAGTTATAGCATGGGATCTCAGACATAGTCGAGCTTGCGTGTGTTCCTGGGGGTTTGGCTGTGATATACCGAGGTTTAAGACACTGGTGCAGGCTGTACACGTAATTGGCTTCCCACTTTGTCCTTGGCTGTACAGTTATTTTCTGGCAACTGTTAAAATTATATACATAAATAATGGCCTGTTCAGATTGCAGCCTGGAATCCATCTGTGTCTGTAATTGCAGCTGGGTTCATTGTACGCTGAAGGGATGAATAGCGATGATTTATTTGGAGGGGGGG